TTCACTGTTGGCTTTCTTAATACTGGCTCAACTCCAACAGCCAGATCTCCAATAGCCAGTAATTTACAGCAAGTAATTTATTAGAAGCAAAATTTCTAACTCTCTTTCTACTCACAAGGCTGCTTTGGTCACTGATTTTTTCCACAGTCCTGCAATGTGTTTGTCACGAGCTCCTAGCGTTTCCTGAGATAATGTCACTTTGTCTGCTACCACAATGTCAGTCAGTCCTCAGCCACAAGGTAGGTCTCCAGCTTTAGCCTAAAGGTAGGCATTATTTACTGTTCTGTTTCGATACAGCCAGCTTTACATCTCTCACGGGTATCAAGTAGGAATTAAGCCAAGCACAAGTGGACACAGCCAACACTACCCACTGGGACAAGTTAAATGACTTGCACTTGATAGAGCACTGAGCAGAGATGAATTAAAAGGTGGCACCTTAGCAGCCTTTTAAGTCAGAAGGGCCAACGTCCAGATCCATGTCAAGGTACGAGCACCTGTTTTAAAAGGCGGCTTCTCCAAGTCACCTGGAGTTGTGCTTCTACATGCTCCCTGCGCCTTTGCTATGATGGCAAGACTGAATACCCCTCAATTCTCCAACACTTCCTCAACCTAAGCAGTAGTCCTCTGAAGGACACAAAGGCTGGCCTACTTCAACATGGACACACGCACATGCTTCTCCCAGAGGGCAGAGGTGTGAGTCCATGCTTCTGGGGGCTGAGATCATTCACACCATGACTTCCAACAAGCACGGAGGGCTCTTCAAACCCTGAACCAGTGGCACCAGCCTCACGCTTCACAAGCTGGTCAAGGCTGGCTGCATTCTTCAAGCTGGGAGGTATGTGCCCAGGCACCTAGCAGGGAGTGGTTTGTCTTTTCAGCTCTTGCAAAATCCATTTACCCAAGATGTATGAGCAGCTGCTTTGACACCGCTCTGAGAAAGCAAACATCCAGCAATCAGGAACATCTTGGAGAACTTTAACAGCAGCCAAAAGTACGGCAGCTATGAAAACTTGTTGTTACCATTCCCTTTGGAAACAGTTAACAGACTTCTGCTAATTTATGACTTAAATACCTTGTATTCATTAAAAAGTTCAGCAGATACTTTGCTACACAACTCATAGTCAAATCTTGAAATACATTACAGGTTTTCATCAGAAACTTTATTCCCCTAAAGCAACATTAATGAAAAATGTTATCTTCACAATATCGGTTAAATAAATTTTTAAAAAATAAGCAGACGTATATTTTTATTTTAAAAAAATGTACCTTCTATGCAAACAAAAGCTTCTTAGAGAATGTGACGAAGATTGAATGAAAAGCTTGAAGTGTAAAAATGACTTTCTGTTCTCTTCTTCAGTTGCCTTTTCCCTCTTCCATACCTCTTTTAAACATGCCACAATCTCAGTCTTCAGTTCTTCACTAAGTATTTAAGAAGTGATTGAAACACGCCTTTAGCCATGTTACTGAGTGGTAATAGGGATCTTAATAAAAAAAAAAAAAAAAAGGCTCTGAAGATGCACAGTAAGGTCATAGAATGGTAAGGGTTGGAAGGGACCTTAAAGATCATCTCGTTCCAATCCCCCTGCCATGAACAGGGACACCTTCCACCAGACCAGGTTGCTCAAAGCCCCGTCCAACCTGGCCTTGAACACTGCCAGGGAGGGGGCAGCCACAGCTTCTCTGGGCAACCTGGGCCAGGGCCTCACCACCCTTCTAGTGAAGAATTTCTTTCTTATATCCAGTCTAAATTTACCCTCTTTCAGTCTGAAGCCACTACCCCTTGTCCTGTCACTCCATGCCCTTGTCAAAGTCCCTCTCCAACTCTGTTGCAGGCCCCTTCAGGTACTGAATGCTGCCGTCAGGTCTCCCTGGAGCCTTCTCTCCTCCAGGCTGACCAGCCCCAGCTCTCCCAGCCTTTCCTCCCAGCAGAGGGGTTCCAGCCCTCAGATCATTGCTGGGGCCTCCTCTGGCCCCGCTCCAACAGCTCCAGGTCTGTCCTGTGCTGAGGGCTCCAGAGCTGGACGCAGGACTCCCGGGGGAGGTCTCAGCAGAGCGGGGCAGAGGGGCAGAATCCCCTCCCTCGGCCTGTGCCCACGCTGCTGGGGATGCAGCCCAGGGTATGGTTGGCTTTCTGGGTTGCCAGCGCACATTGCTGCGTCATGTTGAGTTTCTCATCAACCAGTACCCCCAAGTCCTTCTCTTCAGGGCTGCTCTCAACCCATTCTCTGCCCAGCCTGGATTTGTGCTTGGGATTGCCCTGACCCATGTGCAGGACCCTAGGTCTGTTCAGTACAGACCAACAGAAAGAAAAAACAAGGGAACAAAGAAATACCAAGAATTTAACATTCCCGGTTAGACCTGCAAAGAAAAACAGTAAGCTTTCCAACTGTTTGGATCCAAAGCCATCCTGACAGTCGGGAACCAGAGCATCCTAGTGAGTAAACTGCAGTCTGAAAGCCTCAAAGGGGGACTACATAAATAATCATACACCTTGCTCCCACCCCTGAACTCCTCCTGCAAAGAACGGCATACAAAATATTCCTGAATAAAACTGAGCAGACATTTCAACAGGTTTTTAAACTTCTTTTATTTGCTGAGTTTGGATAGCATGCATCATTTTACAGCACCGGTAAACAAGTCAGTGAAGCATACTGCTCTTAGGAACTCGTACTGTGGAATGTCTTCAAACCCATTACCCGCTCCCCCTCCACTTCAGTACGTAACACTAGCTGAAGACAAGACAGACATATATCAGGGCAGCTTCCCTATGGCTAAAAATATTCGTAGCAGCGACCTTAAAGGAGGGTTTTATTCAATCAAGTCATTGCACTTGGGTCATTTATTGCTATAGCAAACAAGGGCCATTAAATAACGAACACCCTTTGTTTGTAGTTTTATCTGATTGTCTTGTTCTGTTCATCTGCTACAAGCTTACACGCAGACACAATTTCTGTAATCCATTCCGAGATTTGTTTCATGCTCTAATCACAGTGAAGCGCTTGTATAACGAAACTGGCTATTCCACTAGGCTCAATTCTTGCTTTTCATCACCTGACTTAGAGGTATGAACTCTAAGTAAGAGTTTAGTGTCTGACGAGAAGCATTACTGCTGCACATTATTCCTCAACGTAAAGATCCGGCTCAATCCTTCATCTGTGATGCATCAAGGCAACCAGAAGTTAAAACATTAATATTGAACCAGCTTATTAGCAATGTGACTAGCAAATATTACCTAATACTTGCATAGTACACTAATCAAATTTTATGACAACTTAAAATCAGCAACTGACAAACATCCTCCAATTGACTTTTTGAAGTTTGTATTTTATGATGCATCAACTGTGGAAGAAGTATACTCTCAAGAAGTAACACACTCCTGTCACTAGCTCAAGTGACATACCACATAATTACTAGGTTTATGACTGTTCCCATGAATAGAAACTTAATCACTTCTCTTACAGATGAAGCTGCCAAACTATGTGACATGTTTTTGTCATTTAAATTCTAGTAGACCAAAAGGGAGATAAGGTGATACTAACAGATAGAATGCATTTGACTGGTTTTCTAAAGCTGTATGTTTTTTTAATTCTATAATCAAATGAACACATCAATATCATTGTCTCCCATCACTTTGCATATTATTTGTATATTATTCTGGCGCACTATGTTGAGCTCAAGGGTTAAAGCTAATGGCAATCCACAAGATTTCAACTGTTTTCCATAAAATGTGAAAGACACTGTCTTGGAAACCAGCGCAATGCTGTCAAAGCAACTGTTCCACTCACTCATTAAAATACAAAGGTGTTATTAAATTTAGAGGTACACAATACACTGATAAAGTTTATGGCATAAATATATAAATATTGAGACTTTCTGAGAGTATCAAAGTTCCAAAGGAATTTATTTGGAGATATATTATAAACAAAACCCAACTATTGTAAAAACAGATCAAGATGCGCATTTAACCACTAAAAAGACTGACAACCTCAGTGTAGATACACAGAAGCACAGACGTCATGACTTAAGGTTTACGTTTTCCATGCTGTAGTATTTTAGGCACAACAGGTTGAGTTAAGACTGGATTCTAGTCTTGTTTCTGTATTTCTTGCATTTTGCGGTTTTAAAAACTAATTTTGTCATAACTTCATGATTCAGTCCTAAATCCCTTTTTAATCCAATAGTGCAAGTGACAAAATGCTCTGCTAAACCACTCAGATTATATCACTCGTTCTTACTACAATGCATAGGAGTTTCACCTGTTTCACTGCATTAACAAATTCCTATCTCGTTACTCAATTTAGAAACAGCATATTATTAATATTCTCACTGCAGACAGGCACAACAGCACAACCCTGGGTAAAACTGCCAAAATTATACAAATATCATATATTCCCTTTTGTGTGTACGGGAAAAGTAGTGACTACAATTACGATACAGTTATTCCATCCCTCCCAATAGACTATTTTACAGATTAGTTGTAAAGATAGATCACCCTATTTATAGTATAGATCTCTTTAAAAATTAAGCTACAGGTATTCAATAAAAATCTATTAAGAATTCCCTCTCCTTTCTATACAGATTCAGTAGTATTTTCAAGCAAACCAAAAAATAAGGTCTGCAATTCCAGCACAGTAAGAAATAAGGCCTCTTTTATATTGGCAAAAAAATTACACCATTATTCTTTTTTGTTTTCTTATGTCTCTGAATAAAAGACTATATTCCTTTTTTTACTATATTTTTTTCTGTAAGACTGTAGAACACCAGCATCCATTATTATGAAATGAGTCAGTTCTCCTCGTGTTCAGCTTTGAATTCCTGGTGAGTTAAAAACATTGAGTCCATAGCTGTCTCATGTAGACATCACTGCTTTCTTCAATTTTTCTACTTCAAGCTGGAAAATGGACATTTTGAAAAGAAGAAGAGTCAATATTAAAGTAGCAATAATCTAAAATCTTTCATCAAAATTATAACCTTTGTATTTCAAAGACACTTAAGTCAACCAAAGCGTAACACAGAAGCATTTGACAGTTCAATATTTACATCTTATTTTACACCACTTTATTGCTAAATAAACAAGAATTTAAAATCATTAAGAATTTGCCTATAGTTCTGGTACATCTTACTGGAGAAATTCACTCTGAATAAGCAGCCAAAGCTGGGTTGTGGAATCACTTGCACGCCCCCAACGTAATGCTGCACCATCACCTCAGACTAACTTCCCAAAGCAAAACACCGAACCATGATTAATTTGTATTTCTTTAACTGGATTTAAAGGATACGTGGAAGTTACCTCCTCTTCATCCCCAGTGCATATTTAAGGCAACATCATTGATTGCCATAGAGACGCATTAAAAAGAGGACTCAACAAAAGTTCTTCTCAACTTTCAAAAGTAGCTTTGCAGTCAATAAGAAGTACTATTTCACAAATAAAATGCTCTTTTGTACCAGACTGAAACAGTTTTCTACACTGAGCTCATCCTTTTAACTAAACGGCATCATACTGTAATGCAAGTAGCCTTCCTCATCAATAAATTGAGAGGAGTGGTATTCATTCATAAGGAAATTTTTCAGATGCATTTTGTTCTTTCGGCAAATTATCCACTTCATATTTAAACAGTTCATCAAAAATTTAGGAAAAGTTTACTTTTGCCCTGATTTTCTTCTGATTACAGAAAGCAAATTTGTCCTTCAAGTCTTACAAAAGCAAAGTATTAATCTTCTCTCTTGGAACACATCCAGATGGATGCATCTCTAGCAAAGAGCAGAATCTAGCAACACTAAACTGAACTCACATCCCAACACTCATATTGTTAAAAATCATTTTCCAGATAAAGCAAGCTGCACCAAGACGAACTGTGAATCTTCTACATACATCCGACTGCCTCATGAAGCATTCATTCAACACAGCAATAAAAAAAAGGCTGAGCAGGTTCGTTCAGACTTTCCTGTGGCACCAAGTTGCAGAACACTGCCTGCATACTTCTAAACTTCACCCCCCTCAAATTGCTAATACTACCTCCAGATTGCTTCGCAACAGCTTCTCCTCTTCCAAATCCTTCCTTAGTTTTTCCAGTTCTCTCCTAATAGCAGTTAAGAGATCAGAAACACAAGTTAGAAGGGGAAAAAAATTTCACATTACTGAACACGAATCACAGGCCTTGTTTAAATTTTACAAGAGGAATTCGCATAACTGTCTGATGTTACACCTTACAAATAAAACTCCCGCAAACGTACATGCCCACTAGTGAACTGGTACTCAAATCTGGTGGACCACAAGCTTCCACCAACTCTCATCATTTCTTCCTTATCACTATGCACTTATCCCTAACTTATAATCACGATTTTAAGTAGACTAGTTAAAAATTTGTACTGTTATTTTACTTGGACAGTTGAATTTAAACCAAAATAACCTGGCAACTTGTACACAGAAAATAGAAATTCTTTAGAATAGACAGTTCCTAAAATATGTTTTATTTCAGAACTGTGTTCAGGCATGAAAGTGCTTAGAATTATCACCAAGTCGCTGAAGAACTAGTTCATTAATCTCCAGAACTCATAATTTACTAGTTTGCTTTGGGGACCAACTGATCCTGGTGTTTTATAACCAGTACCAAAATGAACGTCTGTCCTGTAAAACTAAAAACAGAAAAGGTGTACTTCCCACAGACTGGTCTTCATTATGTTTACTCAAACACCAGTTGCTTTTTTCTTGTACATCATTCTCCAAACGCAACCCTAGCCACATGCACACAGGTGATGGGGCCACCATGATCACCAATTTGAAAATCTCACAAATATCTGTCCCTACTATCAGTCACGTCAATACTGCAATTACATGTGTGCAGTGTTACACAAGGCCAGCACATGTACTTATGTTAAATACCACAAAAATTATCTACTTTTCCTTTCATTGAAAGATTGAGCAGGAAAATATTTACCCATGTTCTTTCTGCAGTGCGTCTACTAAACCCATCAAATCTTTAATCTGAGTCCTGAGCTCTTCCACAGAAATTTTTTCATCATCCGTTTCTCCTTTAAGCTGGATGTCTCCAGGAAAAAAGTTGAGTATAACAGAACTCGGTCTCTGAGATGAAGATGGAATTGGTGGACTGAATGCAGATGGCTGAAAAAAATGAATCAGCAGAAAGCTAAGAAATGAAATCATACTGACCACTTACAGCACACAGGTAGTACTGTTATGGGAGCTACATGCGCACAAGTTTCCTTCATTTTCTACCCAAAAGGTAAAAAATCATGTCCAGTTCAAAGGGACTACTGTAGTATATAAGACACAGTTATTTTATACATCTCTTTATTAAGAGGCTCCTGCAGTCACTAAAAGAAAAGTGCTCACATTGCAGTTCTCTATACCTTAGAAAAAAACCCAAGTGATTTAATGGAGCCCATTGGTTCATTACAAACAATCTTTGTGCGCCTTTCTGATCTGTTCAGTTGTTCTGTCTGTCAAGAGACTAAAGGCTGAGCAGACATGAGGCTTATTTGGGAAACAATATCACAGTTTCATGCTACCTGATACAATAGTTCTCATGAGAACTGATGAGCTTTATACTAATGTATAAATGAGCTTTATACTAAAATTTCTAACATGAACTCTGTAATAAATGATGTGGCTCACTTGCATTTAAATACAACCATTTGTATTTAGGTGGTTGTATCAATTTAAACTGGAAATATGAACAAGACGAACAGAACACCTAGTTGCCTGGTACTTCTCTAGCTCCTTGGTATCATACCTTTTTCGTTTCAACTGGCTTTGGTTTGGCACTTTCTTCTTCTTTCTGCACCTTCAGATTTTTTTCTGGACTCACATTTTGACTTGCCTGATAAACCATTCACAAAAAATGAAAATGTTTTCAGAATTTAAAAAAAAAAGTAAACAAAAAAGAACTGTCACATGTTTCTAAAGACAGAACAGAGAAAAAGAAAAACAGCACCCCAAACTTCAATTGCTACACTACCATCATTTTCCTTCCCTGCCAGTCAGAACTTTCCTTCCCCACAACACTCATTCATCTGAATTTAAAATAAACATATGCATTCTGGGCAGGATTTTCAAGCATCTCTGTAGTACTTAACAAGTCCTTGATGTTTGGGAGCCTGTGGGTGCCTCTGTAAAACACAAACATTACGAGGCAGTAACTGTAGAAGGTAACTGGCACGACTGAGCTATACAATATCTGACAATATAAACTGATTTCAAGGACTCTGCATCACCTGATTCTCATGGTCTGAGAATCTCATGACTTAGCACATGTGATCACAAGTCCCACATTACACCAACATTAAATCACAAATTTGTTGTGGTCAAAGACTACATCTATCATTAGGCTTGTAAGGCAGTAAAGACACTTTGAGAGTCGTATGTACGCACAACACCTATTTCATCGTCAGTGATGCTAGAAGAGCCGAGTGCTTACTGCAGCAATACCCCACAGACCAGAAAGACTCCTTCAGCCACGAGGGAGTCGCATTATTTCCCTTATGTACACCTCCCTCCTGGGGAGGGAAATTCCTGTATCAAAAGGCTTCAGGAACTGAACCTCTGCCGCATTTTGCATTTCGCTCTCAGGTAAATGGCCCATAAGACTGTTTTCCCAGTTCAACGCTGCTTCCTGGGAAGTCAGTTCTTAGTTCACTGCTAGGAAAACCCACCCAACATACTCACAGGAATACTGCTACTGAAACGCGAAGGCAGCCTCCTGCCAGTCATCTTGGGTCGGTTTGCAGTGGGGTGTGATAGATTAACTGAGGTAGCTATTACATCGTCAAAGCTTAACAGATCTAGAAAAAGACGAAAACACAGACCACCATCAAGACCAAAAGGTTTAGCTGTGTTCTTTTTTTATCACTTTTTTTCCTTAAGACAAAACAGAAAAAAACCCAAGAATTTATCAGAATTTTTACAGTGTCAAAGGTTTTCAGCCTATACAACACACGAGCCATAGGAATCAACTACATGACTTTGGCATATCTGGGAAACCACATTTCCCCCATTCAAAAAAAATTAATTCAACTGGCATTTAAATGCAAGCTCCCAACAGAAGAAGTGCTGCATAAAACAGACCCAACAAGTAACTGGAGAGAAGTGTATTTACGACTGTTTTTTTGAGAGGTGCCATATTCAATTATTTAAGAGAGTGTATTTTCTTGTCGCTAAACTTGCGGGAAAAGCATGAAAATCCAAGTTTAGTGACTAAGCCAAAAATAAAAGCAACGTGGTAAACCACATGTCCAAAGGTTCATGAAAGTAATTTAACAAGACATTAACTGCAAGTATTTCTGTGTAGGGGAGTTTTTTCATATGCAGTACTTTGTCTCAAATATAATACACGACTTCGGAAAGTCTGCAATACAACATTTCAAAACTCTATTCTCATACTTCATTAAATCATACAGATTTCTGCTGATTAGTCGCTCTGTGCTCATAGCTCTAGGTAAACTCTCTCCTAGATCAGCAGAAATTCTTTACATCCTATGGGAAGACACAACCTTAGGAAAAAAAAAAATCTATTAATAGGAAGAACAGAACATACCTAACGTAACAACACAAGTAGTTCACCTCATTATCAATGGGACTTCTTAACTGTTGCTCCACAAAAATAACAATAATACTTACCTGCCAACAGATGCGTAATGAGACAGGTTTTTGATTATTAAGATTATGGACAATATCTATGATTTTACAACACAAATTTATTTGACTTATTCTGGAGACTCTAAATGTTTAACTAACACACCTCACAGAATTTACTACAGGCACCATAAGTAACATTCAATGTTTGAGGTTTTGGTTTGTTTGGGGGGTGGTGTAGTGTGCGTGTGAGGGGGTGTTGAGGTTTTGTTTGGCAACCCCTGATTTTTACATGACATTATGATTTATCAAACAGAAACTAAGACACTTTCCTTCCTATTTTCTCATCCATTTTGAAGCTACAGCAAGAGATCAAGTAAGAAAAAAAACCCCTATGAACACTGGGCCAAAACCAATCACGCCACTTCAGTGTTTGCATGACCTGAAGTCATCCAATTGCTCCAAGTTTTATTCACGCTTAGCCAAAACTAATTTATATCTGTAAGAACTAGGTTTTCCACTGAATGTTTTAAGGGATTTTAATGTCTTCTACTCTGTGTTACTGTCCCTGAAGTCCTTAAAATATTCACATCTTTCGGACATCCCTGACCTTACCTACTTCATCATTGACTTCACCATCTGTTGCCTTGTGGAAATGTAAGCTTTTTTAACACTATCTGTTACCAATCAGGTTTGCTGCTTTTTAATGTTATTGAAGAGAATGTAAAGACAGCGTTTTGTTAACATGTAACCATATTTGCAATTAAAAAAAAAAAACAGGAAGGAAAACAAAGTAGGAAGAAACAGAAGCGTGATGAATGGCAAGCAGCTGACGGAAGAAGAGGATGAGGGAGAAATAAGTAACTATGAAGGTATTTCTGTTGTAATCTGTGCCAATAAAATATTTAACTTATTAGAAGTCAAGAAAAAGTGACCAAAAGATATATCTTCATGTTGTTTATTCATTTATCAGTAATCCCAGAGCACTAACCCATGCCAAAACGTAAACCTGGATTTATGTTAGTCAGGTATTATTAAAAAGGTAACAAGAAGGCAAGAAAAAATATATGTCTTTTCCCCATCTCAGTATTTTTTGCTTTTAAACGATCCTCCTTTTGTCATTCTATAGAAGTGACACATCATTTGGCAGTAAATTTAATTAAGAACTATAAATTGCATTGCTATTATGATTGTAGTACCAGCTCTGTCTCCATGAATAAAGTAAACATCAGGCATATTAAGAACATACGAAGAATAAAGTGTATTTCTGAAAAAAATACAGTATTTCACAAGGCTTGAAGATGAAGACTAATACAGTCTTGAATTGTGTATGATTTAAATATAGATGGTGGGATGACACTAAAGCAAGGAGGGATTTTTTCTATCTCCAAGAGCTTCTAAAGGAAACTGCTACCCCTGAGACAATTGCTCAGCATTAAAATATTACCAGCACCTTACAGTCAGAGGGAATTCTGACTGTACTTCCATTTTCTGTTTTACCTTTCCATTTAGTTGCTTTGATATTTCAAAACCAGATTAAAACACAGGCTGGTGGGGATTAGGGTTTGTGGGTTTGATGGTGGTGGCTTTGTGTGGTTGATTTGTTGTGGGTTTGGGGGGGTTGTTTGTTTGTATTTCTTTTTAAACAGCATTCCTAATTATCTTAGGAGAAAGCTTGTCCCCACTGAAACCAATAGAGATACTGATCAAACCCACTGAAATTTCACAATTTACACTCATTTCAGTCAATAAAGTGATTTATCAATTCACTTTCTTACAGACAGCCTGTGGGCAATTGTTAAAGGAAATCCCATAATAGTGTCAAAAGAGCAACACCACACATCTGTGGACAGTTTGAGTCAAAAACTGATTTTAAGGCTGAGCAAGAGCACCTTTCTTTCTAGAAAGTTACTTAGGACAGACCATTAGAAACGTCTCTTCTGCAAGCTTAACACGGACCCATATGCTACAGAACTGTTAGGAGCTTTAACAGATACAATTAGCTGAGAGGTTTTGTTAAGGTTTGTGAAGGCTTCAAGTATTCATACCAGTTTGTCTTGAAAAGCCTTCACAAAAAGAAGCAAAGCTGAAGGGGTGTTTGAAGAAATTATGGTTCCAACATCTCATGTGACTGGGGTTTAAAAAACCCGTGACAGAAGTAAAATGTATTCAATATTTCAGAAGACAAGACCTCATATTGCAGCCCTTTTTCCTATTATTCATCTTGCTGAGATTGCACCCCAAAAATCTGGGGGACAGATACAAGCTTCAGCATATTTAAAATTGCAGTCAACAACAGTAAGGTATTTGCTACAATTAAGCACCTGCCTAATATGTAACTTTCAAAAATACTATTTTATAAGACTCATGATACTAAGTAGCCAACATCAGTGGATTCAGTGCCCGAATTGCACAGTTTGTGTGTACAGAAAGATAAAGCCATTCAACCTACAGACACCAGAAGTGCTATAAGCATGGAACACATTTCATTATAAACACTAGGTTTCGCTTATCAATAGCTGGACTGTCAAGTTATTCTTATTTTTATTTTCTTTTTGGTTTTTTTTCCACCTCTTCAAGTTCCTAACTGAAAAGTATTCTTTAAGTAACTTCTTGTTTAACAGCTCAGGAAAACATGCATTCAAACAAACAAAAAAAAAAAGGCATTTTAAATTGAAACCCAAATATTTTAGTATCAATAACTGCAACTGAAAATTACGCTTATGACGTTAAGAAGAGGCTATGCGTATGGCATAAAGCATTTGGATTTCCTTATAGATTGTTATCTTACCAAAATGGAGAAGGGTAGGGTAATTTCCTGACACGTAAGAAGGGAAACATGGCAAACAGGATAGGAAACAAAATCTGGAAAGAAAAGTCAAGGAGAGGAATGTCTAGAAAAAGATTCTGAACAAAAAAATTATTTTACAAAGCAGGAAAAAGAAACATTTGTAGAAGAAACAGAATCGCTTTACATGTTCAGCATGCTAGTATGACAGCTTTAGTCTTTTACAGTGCTTTAATTCTAACCAAACAGAGAAACATTTATGCAATTTTTCACATAAAGCTTCAAGAGGAGCTATTTCAACACAATCAATGTTTCCGAATGCTTTTGAGTATTTGTCCTTATCTGATGGCCGGGGGCCTAATTTTGGTGTGGGAAGGGTCATTTTTTCCTATAAATACACAATATTTACAGCTTCTCCTTAGGCTAAATTGAAAGTGCCTGAACTGACACCACACTTCATTGTCAAACTAAGTCGCAAAAAAATAAGACCCCAAACTTCTTTTCTAAAAATTCATTCACTTCAGGATCTCATTCTAAAGGGTAGAGGGGAATTAAAGAAATAAAAATAAAAAAAGAGAGACTCTGCTAATGCAGTTGCCAACCTCAGCCATATATTTCCCCCCATGTTTTAGTATCTATTCTAGTTCTTGTAAGATTAAACAATTTTAAACTTTATCTAAGGACCTAACATCTTTGGAGCTTTATATAGCCTTAGCTGCTGCATGGAATATTTTGTCTTCAGCACTAGAAAGCATGTACAGACATAAAGCATGGGACTCATCACACTGTGCTGGCAGGAGGTTGGACTAGTCTTCTTTCACAAGAGCAGTAAAACTAAAAGTGACTTCTGCAGGTAGTTCTAAACAAGGGCTGTTTCACATAACAGAGGGTTTTTGAAACTTTCCTTAAACAGCAGCTCCTTGACACGCTCAGCGCTGCACCCCTGCACAGACTGCCTGCGCCTCCCCCGCTTGCTGGGTGCCCAACAAGGAGCACGGAACAGACCTCACCCGCTCGCTCATCATGCACCCCTGTCCCCTGCCCAGTCTACGTATTAAAATCTTGAATTTCTTCACGAGCCTGCAAAAATCTTCTATTAGCAAATCAGAATTCATAGATTTTTTTTTTCTAAATCTGTACAAAATTAGGGCGGTTTTATATACAGATACTTAATATCACAGCTACTACGTTGTCACTCTGGTTATTAAAGATGACAAAATAAATATACTTAAATTAAAAAAAGGCATTCCATCTGTTTTCACAGGGAGTTTTTTCCTGGGGAGAAATTATACTATGCTACACAATAACACATCTAGTACAATCCTAGAGATAAGTACCCGTGTAGTAGGACAAGGCTTACATTTTTAAGGCTAGGTTGTGCATCGTTTTTTCATCTCTCAGCTTGCTTTGGCCTGAAAGTTTCTTCTGTACCCTCACTCAAACTCATCTTTAAAAACATGGCATATCACAGCATATGCACAGATTTTACTGGGGAATAAAAAAAGAACTTATAAATACTTCACGGTAACACTGATATTATTTGTAATATTTCAGGATATTTTAATACCTGCTGAAGTCCAGATTTCTGTGGCTCAGAAAAATACACTGTCTGTATTAAAAACATACATGAACTAACCTTTCCTCACGCAAAGCATTTAAGCTTAGAAGCACATTTTAAAATGCTTAACAGAAAAATGAGGAGTACTCTTTCCTACTCATAAACTGCTTCAGTTTAAAGCATTATTTTTATCTCCCAGATGAATTTATTACACTTTAGGACCAACTATTCTACAACCTGAAAATCATAATCAGCCTAAAAAAAAAATAAAATCAATCAAGTTATACTATTTTAAAATGTATTACTATTAAAACCTTTACTGCAGGTCCAATTCACTAAAGCCTCTTCTGCAGTGGTTAATCCTACAATAAAAATAATTTGGAGTTTAAAAGAAATATATGCCCACAGCAGACGATCTCTGCTTAAGAGGCACACGGAGGACTGAGATCAGTTGTAATGTCAGTAAAAGACAAAAGGTAACTATATAATAGCTCAGAGTCTAATCATCAATGTGGGTGCTTTAATCAGTATTAAAGTTTTTACTGGAAAAATAAGGTATGATAAAGTCATAATCTAGAATAGCTATGAACTTAATCACAGAATGCTGAAGGTAATGGCATTACTAAAAATACGCAAGTTAGCTAGAAAAGCAAAAGTTATCTGAAATGCAAGAGCAGAACAAACAGAACCAGTCAGTAAGGAAAACAATTTCATAAAAACTCAATATAAAAGTGGCAGCAAAAAAAACATGCTTTCAAATTAGAATAACAGACTATTACCTCTGTTTTTCCCTTCCTGTCAACTGTTAGAACATGGAGCTCACCAACTACATCCAAAAGCCTACGGACATCTGTTCAACGCTCACTGACTCTTACCTTCAGCTACCTACAGCAGTTCTAAAAAAAAAAATAGAACTCTGTGGTATTTTGAATAAATTACTTAAAGCTTATTCTAACCTTATGAAGTACTGCAAACTGAACAGAATGACCCAAAAGGACATTTATTCTTTCCTTACCTGATTCCTTAGAGCTCTTTACCACAAGTGAATCTACCTCTGCTGATTTTGGTCTAAGTGGTAATGGTTCAGAGTCTAATTTTGGTTTTGCTACTGGCTCAACTTCAGATTTTGGTCGAAGAGAAACAACTTCTCCGTTAGATCTGTGGTAAGAAAAAAACGACAAGACATACGTAGTCAGGAGATTAAAGAGCTTACAACTGAAACATATAAACTATTAGAAATAATGGAAAATTTTCAGTAGATTTCATTATTTTCTAAAGCTTTGCTTAAAATCAAGTCTTTCAGAGAGTAATTCTAGTCCTATAAAAGACAATTCTTCTGTTCCAGCTCCCGCAGAGCTGTCAACCATGTGCAATTCCTTTGTAAAAATAATCCAAAACTTTTACTACAGGGCACATTTTGGAACTTAAATCTAAAATACTACACTTCAGTGCAACAGAAAACAAGAGGGCTGAATAGCACCTTCAGTAATATTTCCTGAGATATTCAGAAACATACTGAGACTCCCTGACAACAGAATCTTCCTGTTAAGAAGAAAGTTGCCTAGAACAAATTATTTCCCTCTGTGTATAAAATATCTTTTATTCAACCACGCATTCTTTGCACGTCTGGTCATATCATTCAGGGACAAAAAACTATCCTGTTCAAAAAAATATACACACACACAGAAAAAAAAAAAAAGAACAGATGACTTTTTCATTTACAAATCCTGCCATCATTTATGCCACAGAATAAAGTCGATAAATGGACCAGCTGCCAGCTTCAATGTGTCACTGTCATTAACTCATCTCCCAAATCCTTTATTTGGAAGTTTTATTGCAGTAGAAAAAGAGACAGCAGCTTTATCTTCCTAGAGCAATGTTAAACTTTCAGACATTTAAACACATTTAAATACCCCTCAGATTTAAAGTTTTCAGTCATTAAAGGACCACAGTTTACTACAGACCTTTATTTTAACTGCACATGTGTATCCCTTTACATCTATAATTATTTTCTAAAATGGGGTAGGGGAACATGATTTGTGACTTTAAAAAAAAACAAAAAACAAAAACAAACTTTACTTGGTAAACTCTAAAATACCAGACACGGAGAACACAATTACACACTGAAAATCTAGAAAGAAGTAAGATGGCAGTGGTGTAACTCCTCAATCAGGCACCCAGTGTTCCCAGGGCTGTGCAGGGTGGGATCAGAGGCAGTTCTGCCTAGACAGCCCTCGGTTGGAGCCAACCTCCAAAGTGTATGCCTTACCCACACACCCTTTCCCCACTGCCCTCCTCCTCACTGCCATCTCCCTTTAGATAGTCCTCCTTTTGGTTCAGCTATACGGGACCTGTTGTAAAAAAAGATAAACCTTGACAAATGCTTGCAGCCACCCTGTACCTTTGCAGGTATTTGAGGTGCAAGCTCTTCGACATAGCAGCTATCTGCTCCTTTATTTGTACCAGGCCAAATTCACGTTGACGTTACTTTCTCATGATTCTTTCAAGTCAGCTGAACATTCCAAAGGGACAGTTATCCGTCAGCAGTTTATCTGTAGTTTTGGGTAAGGAGCTGGCAAACACTTTGATGGAGGCAGAAAGGGAAACTGTGTGTGTGAGGTTGTACTGATGCGAAATCAGTCTTGGCAAAACATCACAAATAACTGTTACAAACTGATGAGAAAAAAAAAAAATTAGAGGTGGATCTAAAAGAAAAAGTGAGAGATTACTTGCTGTTACCCTCCCTATCTGTCGAGTAACTCAACTGAGAATACTCAAGACAGAGATTGGATGTGGTTCTGTAAGGAGTGCTTTCCTACCCAGAACAGCACAAACTACAGCGAGTACCTTCCGTGCAGGTACTAACCGTCCTCATCTCTTCCTTTCCGGCTATCTTACTCCACATAAAGTGCTGAAACATTGAAAGCTGACGCAGCTCAAACCCTCGGGTTCTTTCCAACATGGTAATAATTCTCAAGTGCCACATCCACAGATTCTTTTAAAGCATACTGCTATTGTAGCTACAACATCTTCAGTACAGGGCAGGCTTGTAGTAAAGCAGCCCACAGATTTGCAGCTTCACCTGACCCATGGTTAGTTATGCCGTGATATTTCCTCCAAGATGGACTTAATCTCTTAAAGAATCAGAAAGTTAGAAATTCACATCGATACACACTTGGAGAAACAAGACACTGGCAGGTGTAGGGCAAAACTTGTCCTTACATCCTTTTCACCCTAAAAACACATGAAGGAAGATAAAATACATTTGGTGTATATGATTTAAGTTACACTGACCTGGATACAGATGATGGCAAAACTGGTTTATCCGGACGTTTTGGGTGCAGAAGCCCCGCTCTCAGTAAGCTGTTAGTCTTGCTTGGAGGAATAGGCTTCTTGGGTGGTACTTGGGGAGCCTGTGGCTTCAAAGGCTTCTGATCCAAAGCTCCTTTGTCATCTGACAAAGTAAGTCACCACAGCATTTTAAAAAACCACGTTGTCTAGAATTCTTTCAATGCCAATCAATTAGAAAGTAATTGCTGCCAGAAATACTTTCTTTGAAGATCAAAGTGAAAAACAGATATGCAAGTGTCTTAAGGGATACCTCATCAAAACACACAAACTACCTACCTGAATTTAAAAAACATTATGTTGAAGTAAGCAAAATGTCTTTCTACTGAAACAGTAGCAAGAAATTATGGATTCTCATAACTGTACTGCAAGTGACAGCTACGAACCAAGAATCTCTCCGTACTGCTACCGCTTTCTCTTTTCTATGAATTCACCTTATCTCCTCTTAAAAAGGTAGGGTTTGTTTTTTTGTTTTGTTGTAACTAGACTTCTTCTACACACACAATCAGCATAATGCATCTATGGAAAAAAAAGAGGGGGGGGGGAGAATATTTATCTGAATAACTGAATTTATTTTAGATAAAGTCTACCTTCCTACAAATCCAAGATACAAATTAAGTACAGATAATCTAACAAGAAAAAAAAAGTTAAATCTATCATTCAACGACTGCATGACCTAATTGAGTATTGTCCAGAGAAGGTGACATACACATGTGAGACACTGAAAAATTCAAGCTGCTTCACAAATACTAGTTGAATAGTCTTCAATTTATGTTCCCTAATCACACCTTGTGGGGTATCCTAAGCATAGCTTCTACTTTTCCTTGTAAAACCATGCTACAGCTCACTCAGGCATGCAGAAAATATTGCAGATGTAAAAGTTATTGTTAGGTTACAGTGAGGAGTTAGTCCTTTACAATTACTGCCCTTACAGGGCAATAAATCAGTACATCTGGTTGAAGAAACTGACCTTCAGCTTTGATTCTCCCTATCCTCCCCTCCTAGGACTTTGCTTTTAACCGAGTATTGGTCTCAGGTAAAATGCTGACATACACTAACCATTTGGGTGTAGGGTTGGAAATTTGGCTCAGCTCCATCCCAGCTAAGTGCCTGAACTGCCAGGTCTACGACTGACTTCCTTTGGAGCAGTCCTGCAGCTGTTGCCTGTCAGCCCTCCAACTGTCAAGTGGGAAACCACCGATTTTCTTTCACAGGAATACTTGGAAGTAATCAGATCATAGTGATACTTCTGCAAAAAAAGCATTATCCAGGGCAGAATTGTCTTCCTGCTCTGGGACATGTGAACACTGGGAGATGTGAACAAAAAACCCTAAACCAGCTGGCATCCCCTTCCAGTCTCTCTCAGTATTGAGTTAAAAAAATATAAAATACTGAATAGCAGAAGGATGTTGCCACACGGTGGTGCTGACCGCCCTGTGTGAAACAGCCCGTTAGCAGTGCTAGCTCCTTCTGCCTACCGATCCCACAGGCAAGATTTAAACTCTAAGCGCCCAACAGCAGTCAGTATTACTGAAGATCAATCAGCTTTCTTTTAGCTATGCTGAACACAAGTAGAGAAATACGCCTTTCGATTTTAAGAATAAGTTGGTTCATAAACAGGGCAGAAAAAATGCTGTCATCAAATGGTATTACTGAACTTCCACCTGGCAGTTTGCCTTTCAATTATTCCCACGCAAAATCTGAATATAAAACTGGTCCACAGCTAAGCGGAAAAAGGTAATACCAAAGGTCAAGATTCACCGCGAGCACAGAAGTTGGATGGCTCTGCTGGACAAAATGACATCCCTCCTTCCTGGATTTTGCTCCGCAAGGAAAAAGGTAAGAGTTGGCTAAAAATGAGCAGCTTAGTAATGGAATTAAAAAAAAAAAAAAAAAAAAAAATCTGAAGACTTCTACACTACACAAAAATTTCTACATGATATCACTAAGTGTCCTTCACTATAAATACACAAATACTTATGGAGTACTGCTTTTAATTTTTGATCACAGTTATAGGCGGATTTATTAGTCTCCCAATAGGCATAAAGAAAATTGCATGGTTTGAGAGCTTGTGATTAAAGCTGTTCGGTTAATTTTTTTTTGAAAACTAATTACAGTATAATTTCATCCTTAATTAATTTAATCACTAGTATCATCATGGTTATTTTTCCACCAGTAAAACTGCACTGATAAATGAGCATTTCTTCTGGTAGAACACGACTGCTATCTAAATAAGTAACTTTCAAGACCTGACCTTCAACTGAATACAAGATAAACATTTCCTCCACCAATTCCTGTACCACAATAACGGACAGTTCTCTACCTTACTTAATTTTTCAGAAGCTTTCATGTTCCTAAGCATTTTGGATAGTGTCATTCAATATTTTTTCCACCTATACTCCTCCATGAACAGTTGAACTCCGCTATGCAAAGGGTAACACCATCGTACAAAGAGAACCAGTCCAAAATTAAACTTACTTCAATTTAAACAAATTTAAACTTATAGAGAGCCAAGTGATCTAAATTCCTAAAAACATACAGTTGATCTGAAGATACTGCTCCAACACGAAAATAATTTGTTTTGCTCACATGCAGAGGAAACATAGCTGATATTAGCAAGTATTCCAATGAAACACCCGAGAACGTGCTCTGTTTAAAATGTGGGTTACAAAAACTGCCCAAGGAAGCCAGGAATCCTATCCAGCAGGCTTACTTGTTGAAATGCTGTTTAGCCACGGTCAGCCACAGTTCATGGAACAGAGTATGTTTTTGTAATATGGTTAAGCCGCAGGAACATCAGAATTTCTTCTTTTAAGAGCCAACCAGCATGTATGTGTAAGTTTCTGACTTCTAAACACCATCATAACAGTTTAACGGTTTGACTTGGCAAGTTTCTCAAATATGAAAAGGAGCCTTTTGGAAACTTGCCTGGGTGATAAAAAGGTGTCCTGTAAATTTTACGTATAAAGTGGTACACATCTCCAAATTCTGTGGAACTGGACAACATGGAATACAGCAAGAATTAACCGACAAGAAATCTCAATTTCTGAGCACTGTGACTGTAACCACTTTAAGGAGTGTTGCAACTGTCCCGTGTATTTCTTTCAAAAATATTTTCCATCAGAGACCGATTTTGGCCACAACATTCAGAAGCAGTAACAAATGTTTTCATTTCTAATAACCTACTATTGCTATTCAAAGCAGCAGTTACTATCACAGAACTATCCTTAAATTAATTCAATAGTAAATGCGTTCTTACGCAGTGTAACAAATCTTTTTCAGAATGTAATTTAGTAACAAAAAATAAACATTCCATAAAAGCATAGCTGCTCTTCTAATCACTCTAAAGACACTTCTGTAACTTCACAGACGCGACAACTTCCGTAGATGGTATCAAGAGAATCTGTACGATGTCTTCCGAACAGGCACCTACTGCAGTGAGCAGCCAAGCTAAATACTGTGACTTGTAAACAAGAGCACGGTCTGAACTTCACAATGCAGAAAACCGGTCTCACCTTTTTCTTCAGGCCTCAAAGAAGGGAATTTCTTCTCTCCAGTTGGCAGTTCAGGCTTTGGAGCTGAATGCAAAAATAAACCATAGACATTTCTCAAAGAGCTTTAATTATCTTAGTCACTAACTAAAAATACGACATACACCAATTTGTGTTTTTAGTTTTTCCTTTGCAAGGAGCGTAATACCACTTATAAACACTCCTTTGAGCCCAGAAAACGGTACGCTGGTATTCAAATGTTTCCAAACTAGGCTCCATCATAATTTCAAAAAAATATATAGCAGCAGTAAAACACATAAAGCACAAAAAGTAACCTCAAACTGTGACTATAGGTGGCTGCAGTACTAGGAAATGCAAAGCTACTTCTGATTTTTCTTTTGAAGTCATGCACTGCTTCTGAAATCTAGTATTTCCTCAGACATGTACCACCTACGTACCTGGACTTTTAACTGGAGGCGGAGGTTTCTTTGGCTTCTACAAAATGAAAAAAAAAAAAGGCAAATAAATAAAAAGCCAGATATTCTCCAAGACAGACTTCTTTGTGTTTTGTTTTACATACTGTAACATCTAGCTTGTTTACTAGCTGATTTCAAAGTGTTTCACAAAGGAGGCAATCAATCCAGACAGGAATCACAGAGCCCGGGAGGAATTCCTCTGAGACCTCCCAGACAACGAGTTGCAAAAAAGGAACAAAACGCAAGTTTCTTCAAGTCAGATCAGTGCTTCAGCAACATGCATGAGCAGCAGGGTGTACGAAGAAGTAAAAGCTAAGAATTACATCCTTTCTAGTCCAAAGAATTGCTCTGAGCACACCTATTTTAATTTCAATATGTAAACCTCAATCTTCGTTAGTATGATGCAATTTTAAAAGAGTTATCAGGTAAATTTTTGAAGCAAAAATGGTCACTTTCACTGAAGAAAGAAAAGGTTCAAAATTAAGTATCAGAAGAAATATTTCAATTAATTTCTAAATTACAGCAGTGTAAGAAAAAAAAATTGGTAGTGGCATTTGCAACGTAAACACTGCAGTTACATGAAAAACATTGTTTTGAGCTTCCTTACCACTGTATATTTAAGTGGGAAAGGTGGACAAACTGCTGTAGTCACTAAAAATTTACAAAGCATTATGGTGCCATAGATTGTCCATTGAAAATAACTCTATTTTAAGGTGCCGTCACTCGTCACCTATCTTAAATTGGTAAAATTGAATTTCTCTCCAGTTGAAGTAGTACTGGCACTTCTCGGGACAGCCATTGCAAGCCACTTCATCTTCAGAATCCGATTCACGCACTTGCTCTAGAAAAGGAGTCTTTGTGGTTGTACGAAGGACAAGACTCGCTAATAAAATGTTCACAGAAGCCTACAAAAACACTTGTTTTTTATACAAGCACTGCTGAAACCTTATGGGCTCAGTCTAATAAAGCCCGTCCAAAAACGCCTTGTAGTGGGTATTTTTGAAACAATTGCCATGGATGGATTTCACTTCTGTGCCCCTACTGCTACTGACTAAGCTCTTCTTAATGCAGAAACATTTTATTCTGACAAGTGAAATGTAATTAAGAAAGCATGAAAACCCATCTTAAATGTCTTTCTCTAGTTCCAGAGAACACAAAAGCTACTGAACTTTAGTAACAAGACCGTATTTTTTTTCTTTCCCCAAAAAGTGAAGACATTATCCAGCTGTGCAGCATTGCTGCCTATATAAAAACCAATTACACTGAGAGTACAGCATCAACTTCCCATTATAAGATTCCAATCTGTGTTTTTATTCAGTCGATATCAAATAGCTGGTTACAGTAATCAACCATCCAGTGCCTTGAACTTTAAAGGTGTTCAGTGCAAGGTGAATCCCCATACTGAGACACACCACACAAAGCAGAATAAAGGATCAAAGTAAGGTCTGCCTACAGGAAACATTGTTTATGGTAAAAAAACCAGTCTTTTTTCCCTCTCAAGGGAGCAATTCTGTATTGCAAAACAGCGATACTACCCACCCATCAACCCTCAAATCAAGTCAGCTGTATGTTACAGCATTTATGCCATCCTCGCAAAGCTGAGAATCAATCTGAAAAAGAAAACGCTGACTACAGTTTCTGTGTGTCAGGTAACTGAGGTTAAATGCTAAGTTAATAACTATCTGTTAAATTGTACCTACCAATCTTCTGTCCCCAATTCCAGACCAAATAGCACTAAATTACCACAAAACTCTGTCCTGCTGAGATACAGGCTTCAACAGTTAGATGCCCTGATCTGGAGCTGAATCCATCCCATCTGGAGATGACGTACATTTGCGAATTAACACAACCATCTTTGCTACACAAACTTGTCAGCACCCAAACATCACACTAATCTTAACAAAAAAAATTATAAAATAAGAACCATAATTACGAGACCAAGGAGTACCACATGAAAACATGAATTTCTACAAGTTAGCACACAAGATGGTAAAAAAAGTACTTCTAGATTGCACCCAAAGCTTAACCTTGACACACTCCAAACTACTAGCAAATCTTAACGTGGAAAAATCCCAGTCCGTCCCACAGGGGTCATTCAGTATTTTGCAGTTATAGTTACAGGACTACAGATGGAAGAGACCGACTGCTTACCTCCAGTAAGCAGGTTTAATTCAGTAATCAGTTACACATAACACCACATCATCATAACTATATCCTTTTCTATACGATTCCATCGTCCTCGTTAAACTTCTTAAATATTAATTAAACTTCTTAAATATTAAACTGAGGCATGCTTTTTGAGATTAACAGTAATTAAACAGAAACATTAATCTTTAAATCTTTTTTCTTGGTTATAGCTAATTCAAGACAATGTTAAAAATTGCCATGATAGTAATAACATTTTGTGCAGCATAATGTGCTGTGAAGTCTTTTATTCCTTGCATTTCCATCAATACTGTTTTGTGATACTAAACAATACACATAAGAACTTACAGGGAAGTCTTTATCAGACTCTTGTATTTGAACAGCAAAATTATCTGGGAAGACTCCTTCTTTACCATTGAGTTCTCCTTTCCACCAGCCTGGCTCTCCAGTATCCTAAAATACACAACAGGATGTTTCAATCAATATTTACTTCTTCCCCAGGACAGATACAGTTACAGGAACAATTTGTTTGCTTTTACCTATAATACACAGTAATTGTTTATCTGAAATATTGCGTTTGTAAAAGGAATACTTCAGCCACCTTGGCAAGGGGAAACAGATACAGATCAGCTCAGGTTTCGTTGCTTTTTGTTGCTTTCTAAAAAGCAGGATAAAATTATATTACATCACATATTAGATAAGGATTAAAGATCTGCAAAGGGTACGAAAGTACATAAACCAAGTCATGACACAATGCACTTTATTCACTATTCTCAACTTTCTTGACCATCAACTTAGTAAATACTTAAGTGTCATTGGAGTAACAAACAATTCTACCAAATAAAAGTGATTCTGTTGTGATTAATTAAGTGCACTGGTCTCAAAAGGATGAAGAAGCAAGAGGATACACCCTAGTGAAGGAAAAACTAACCACATTAAGATGTAAGGAAAAAAAAAAAGGGAAAATTAATTCAGTGGCACAGAAACTCACTACATGATCTTATTGGATCAAGGCTTTAGTTTATCCATAACAGAAAGTATTATATTATTTGAACATTACAGCAGTATATATACCCACTTTCCTCTGTGCCTTAGATCCAAAACACTGCAGATGTCACTCCTCCATGCAAGCCCAAGAGAATTACCGCCGATATGTGCCACCATCAGCAGCATCAAGTAGCTAATCCCAAATATCAGTACACAAAATGACAATTCAGCACTCAGTTCAGCTAAGACACTAACCAGGCTAAAGAGAAGCGAAAAATAAAATATAAAATAAAATAATTTTTAAAAAATCCCACCCCACATTAAACTAAAGGAGGAAGAAGACCTGAATAGGTGATTAGAGCTGAAAGTGAAAGTTTGCTAAAGTTTTTTTCCATTTCTCCCACTGTCCCCCTTCCAAAGAAGTACTGTTAGAGTCCAATTTCTGACTAGCGTGCTGTCGTGAGTGGGATACGGCATCTATTGCTAAACTTCATGTAGACAGTGCTGAGGCATGCTAGCAAGTCAGAGACAACTCCATGCAAAGGGATCACATGCGGAACAAGCAGAAAAGAAATGGCTGAGGGGCACCGGATTTACACAAATTGAACGGCTAGAAGAAAATACCTTAACACTTGCAAGATCAAAACCCTGGACTGAGTCAGCCACCTGACAGTTAAATGAATACACTTAGACTTCAGCAATGGATTTGGAGGAAGAGCTCTGCTCTGGATAACTCTTTGCTCCAGTTTGGACTAGGGTGTGCTTTGGGTAAATCAGTATTAAAAAAAAAAAAAGAAAACAAAAAACAAAAACAAAAAACCACAAAACAACACAAAAAAAAAAACCAAAAAACCACAAAAAGAGAGGCAAGAGACACAGGGAAGACAATCCTCTGGGAAAAGGGCTGCCATGTTTAAAAATGTGCCTTCCATAACTACACTTTTCCACTGTAATTATAGTCAATAATGCTGATAATATCAATTTTCTTGTTAAGAAAAGTGGCAATCTTTTCCATGAACTTAAAATCCTTCTAAAGAAACAAAGCGTTCCTTTTCATCTGCAACTGTGCAAAAGGTGAAAACAAACAAACAAAAATGAAACTTTCCACTTTTTTTAGGCAAATTGTTACTGCTTAATATAGTAGCATGTAAACAGTAGCTGACAAAAGACTGCCGAGTACTGCAGGAAAATTAAGTGTGGGTAGGTTCATTTTTTGTTAAAAACCATCTTTATAACAAGATGAACTTTCAAAAAGGTGTTTTCAATATTCCACACAAATAGAAATATTCAGCTAAATAATCACCTTTCTCTAAACAGCCAGGCAGGATCATTAACTTCTGTAGGGTTATTCTGAAACGCAAAGTGTCTCTAACACCTGGCTTTCATTCTCCTACTGAAAACATTTGGTCAGCTTTCTTCACAATACCTGGATCACAGAATCATGGAATGGTAAGGGTTGGAAGGGACCTTAAAGATCATCTCGTTCTAACCACCGTGCCATGAGCAGGGTCTTCCACCAGACCAGGTTGCTCAGAGCTCCATCCAGCCTGGCCTTGAACACTGACAGGGAGGGGGCAGCCACAGCTTCTCTGGGCAATGAGTGCCAGTGTTTCACCACCCTCATGGTGAAGAATTTCCTCCTAATATCTAATCTAAATCTGCTCTCTTTTAGTTTAAAGCCATTCCCCCTTGTCCTATCACTACACACCCTCGTAAAAAGTCCCTCTCCATCCTTCCTGTAGGCCCCTTCAGGTACTGGAAGGCTCCAATAAGGTCACCCTGGAGCCTCCTCTTCTCCAGGCTGAACAGCCCCAACTCTCTTAGCCTGTCCTCGCAGGAGATCAAAACCAGTTCATTACAGAACTTAATTTCTCGCCTTTTGACATGATAATACTTCCCAAACACCATCTCTAGGCCAGCCTGCTGTATCACCAGAGAAAAAGTACAAGAAGTTCTGAAGGTAAAAGGGCTATTTGCAAAGCTTTTCCAATTTCCTCACTGAGAAGGCATTTGGTACTGGGTGTATGCTGATCCGACTGGCCTTCGAGGAATCTAAGATAACTTCCCACTCTGGAATGATCTTTAAGGACATCTGTATCTCCACTGAGTGCAGAAGCACAGAGTTGACCTCATATGAGATAAATCAGTCTATGGGAATATCTACTCCAATAGATTCTCCTGCTTTCACATTTTACACATTACCTACTTGTACAAAACCCACTAAAGCTATATATGTGGCTCAAGCAGAGCGAACATCTTACCTTACTGATTATTTGAATGATCTCGCCTTCTTTAAAGCTGAGTTCATCATTTGAGCCTTCATAGGAAAATATTGTCCTGCAATATTCCTTGGCTGAAACAAAGCAGCACAATTACCAGACACTTGCATACCATGGGTAGTAATATACATAATATCAGCTCACTTGTGCTGTCTGAAAGAAGAGCTCAGGAATTAACACTGTCATCACACTTCCCTTCTTGGCCAGCTATCAGAGAGTGCTTTGCAAGTGTTCACTATGTCATTCATATCACAAGAAAAATAAGATTATATATTTACAGAGCAACGGAGATTAATCTTTCTGAAGTCAGTAGTTTAAGCTCTAAAACATTTTTCCACAACAGCAACTTAAGTATTCAGACATCAGAGGGAGAAGAGGAGCATACTTTTCAAAAAATTGACCTAAATTTCAAATTTACAATCCTAATTAAATACATGCAATTGTTTCAAGGTGACAACCATTACTAACACGTACAACTGCAGAAGCTTCAGACCCCCAAGCAGCACATTTGCTGAAATTCTGCAGTGAAATCACGTCACTGACGCAAAGGAACTCCTTGGTTAAGCACCTGAAATCAGAGCTCATCTGAGTGACCAACTCAGACAGTTACAGCCTCTTCTGAAAAAGTAGAAAGAATAATTTCTTTCTTTCCATTTGGTACAGTTCAATGAGTAATCCATTTAAAATTGTGATAATGATTTCAGGTGAGAAAGCAGGAGGATTTGTTTTCCTTTCCCACGCCAGAACAAAAACAATGTGAGAAAGGCCAAAACACATCAATACAGAAATCTTGATTGCAAAGCATTTTTTGCACCTTTTTTATCCTCAGCACATCTAAAATTATGTAGCAGATAAAAAGGCTGTATCTGACAGACTAAGGAAGAGGAAACAAACAAAATGGACTCTAACGTGCTGCCACAACCTATCAGGTATCTGGCACCGACACGACGCACAGGCGAGCGGCTGCATCAACCCTCCGTTTGAGAGCAGCACAAGGTCCAGGCACCATTAGGATCATCTGCCTTTTGCGTAACGACTGCCTTTTGCTGGATGGGAAGAAAATAAATGAACGAGTTGCAACTGCATCTTTTTAATGTTGTATTTTGTTTAACGAAGTCATAAAGCTGTAGTTAAAAGAAACCACAACTGTATTCTTAAATAAAAAACTACCTAGGTCAGTGCCAACCACTGATAAATGCAAAAGTATGCCAAGCTAAAGAGACAGATATATATATAGATATACATAGATATGTACCTAGGATTATTCATATGGTTACAAGAACATGCATTATTTTAGTGCCTTATCTAGTGATCAAAAATGCTCAATTATAGATTGATTATATTGTGGTTTGTGAAGAATTACAGAAACATCAGAAGAACCCTGGCAAGGAAATCAATGTTTAAATCGAGGTCCAAAAAAGAAGAAAGGGAAAAAAAAAAAAAAAAAAAAAATCCCACTAACTAAAAAAAAAAATTTCAACAGGTGCACTACAAATGTCAAATTCAGTGATTTTATTCGTTAGTGATGAGTAAGTGTAACACAAGTGTAATACATTTCTATACACCCTGATTCTGTAAAAAAACACCCTTTTCCTTACTGCCTGGGGATTTGGCTAGTACAGCTGAACAACACAATCCTCCTTTTCTCTCCTCCTTCTCCCAGCACTTCTCCCCTCCTCATATTACACCGAGTCCCACAACAGACAGAAAATCCTGCCCAAAAGGGAGCCTTTCCCTCTTCCCCAGCTGCAGGAGGGCTGGAGACGGGGAGCCCTGCGGACTGCCCAGCTGCCAGCCCCAGCAGTCGGCACCCCCCGAGAAACCCAGCCATGGACATTAAAAGTACATACGATTTGCCACTTCGGCATCTTATTTTGTGAGCCTGATATTCTGCCAGTAGTTAAGATGCAGAGTCCAGCTAAACTTTCCAGCACTTAAATCTAAGATGGTATTTACAAAACAGTAAATCTGAACATCAGTAATTCTTTTTAATAAAAGGTAGCTTAAAAATGACTCTTTTCCAAAGACTCGGGACTAACAATACAGTAGCAAGAATCACAGCTGTTGTATTCTAACATAACGGGGGGGAAAGAGGGGTCAAATTGTGATTATTTTATTTTTTTAAACAAAATGTTTTTACATACTTGCACCAGAGGCCAAAACAAGCTTCCCAGAAACAGTGGAGCCACACCAAAATAAGCCACACTAGTCTAAACATTTTAGAGATCTCTGTTTATTTGCTAACATATTGAACAGTTTATTTTAAACTTGCTCTCTCAAAACCAAGGATGATATACATAACCTGTAATATGGTCTATATTAAAATAAAAACACTAAGGAAGAAAACCAAGCCTTCTTCCAAAGGTTGGAAGGTGTTCATAAAGGGTGTCTATAGGTATCATCTACTGATGTTCCCCTACAATATCTATTACTACCATATTTAAGTTCCTCTCTGATGTATTTGTTTCGCTGGGGAGCAGAGACTAAGCACGACTACAGATCAGTCCAACTGTTATGCTTTTAGCATGACATGCACCTTCAAATGAGCTGAATACTGTATGTTCTGAGTGTTCAGCACTGAATTTTCAGATTTTTTAGGCAGATTTGGGTTAATTTTCATGCGAAGTTTTAGACAAGGCAAATTTCACAATGCTCAGGGCTCCACTCTGTTGCTGGCTCTTACAGCAACAGCACTGGAAGGGTTTAAAAGCAAGATCCCAAGACTATTCCAATTTCAAAGTTCAGTAAAGATTTCAAAATTTGCATGTAAGCATCAACTTCCATCAAACGCATAGTACACAGACTTTTGAGACACGCCTTGTGAAGGCAAATGTAAGTATTCGCTACTCTCCAGCCATTACATCAAACACTTCTTGACAGTAATCAGCTGTTTGTAAGCATGGTGATGCCATTTGTGGCTATCACATTCAATAAAGCCAAAATACAGCCAAAATGGCATGGATGCCCTATATACTTCTATAGTTACAGAAACTAGGGCTCTGACTAACAAACTTGCCATTTCAAGTGCCCTGTTGTGCTAGGTTACACCACTCTTGAACACAGGCAAAAAGTCAATTGTTAGTTGCAATTTTCTTATTTCTGCAAATTATGCATTCCAAGTAAAGCAACTCATGCCAAACTAAGGGATTTCCACATAAAACAAAAATATACTTGGAATTACGATATAAAAGTTGAAAAAATGCCTGCTCTGGAAGCAGGCGAAATGAGCTGTCTACACATCACATAACTGAAGTTAATTTTTTATATGGGCTTGGCACTCCCGCAAGATGTTTTGCGTTGGTTTGAAAATATCTCTCTAGATAAAACTATGCAATTTGGTAGTTAAATGAAGTCATAAATTCTTAGAGATAACAAAAAAGAAAAATAAAAAAGAAGTTATTATAAACAGAATCACAATGGAACTGGATTATCTAGGGAACAGACTTCAACAACACACAAGTACCAACTTTCTGATGCAAGAAACTTGGCGTACAGTTACGACAGCACACTGGCAACTCCACAGTAAATCCTGAGCCTAGAGAGTCACTTCTATAGCCTAGGGACAGAAACTGAGTTAGGGGACTGCTCCTTAGCAATGGACTTCCAGCATCCCAGCTGAACACTAAAAGCTAGGCAGAAAGTCAGTCAGTTTGGGCACGTCAGCATAACAAATTAATAAAACGGGGTTGCTGCAATAAAACTTCATATCCTAGCCTTACTTTGTTCTGGAAGACAGCCCTACAAATGCTTGTGATTCATTTTCCACAGAAACGCAAGCAAAAAAAATCCTTCAGACTTTTGCATTTGCGTAACTCCTCAAAAGTACAGAACATTATACAAATACCCAATATACACAAAAATTTAAGATTGTAACACAAAAAAATTGACAATCAAATGCTTCTCTAGAGAAGACTACCAAGTAATCGACATAGATTTCCATCAGCCTTACCTTTTGGTTTACTTTCCGCTTCTGACTTTACTACTTCTGACAAGTTTTCAGTTTTCGTTGTACTGGGAAAGTGAATTAGCTTTGTTCCAGAGGGATGGTTAGGTGATGGCTATATGAACGAAAGAGAACTTTGTTAACAAAAACTCATTATGAGTTCTAGTTTTGATTAGGCTACAGAACGTACTGAGGTTTTCATTAGTTGAGATGATGTGAATTACCATCTCCAAGAGATTCAATGAGCTTTTCCATTTACTAAACTTACTGCAGTTATTTCATTACAGTCACTGCAATTAGAATTTTGTCTACTGATTAAAGACACAGCACAGCTTTCAAACTGGAAGCCAATCTCAGGACATTGTCAGATACACTTTTGCAATTGTATTTCAGCAGTTCCAAGTGTTACTCTTCCATTATCCTGAAAATTGCCTGAATTTAACAGCTCTGCTGAAAGTATCTTGCTGACCACGCTTACTTTCCACTAGAATAAAGCAGGAATATTCAGTACCCATACACCCCCTCAGCCGCAGAGGCAATGAGTTTTTAGCTACTCAGACAAAGGTAAGAGCACATGAAAGCCCGTCCCAGCTTCCCTTCACTCTCGGCAATTCGTACAGGACAGAACCAGAACAGATAAATATCACTAGAGATTTCTCCTGAACCAAAAAAAAACCACAGAGGCACTGCAACTGGTAACAAGTTTCAGAGTTAGTATCTAACCAAAATAACTGTTCCACTTTTCCCCCCCCAGGAGACTTACTGACCTGCCAGGAAGATTCAGACAGCTTCAGCTGCATCTACTCTGAGCTACAAACATAGAATATGATCTTACAGTCAGTACTTACCTGAGCAGCCCTAACAGCACTACTGATGTGAAAAATCCCATCGCCTTTAGTAACTCTGTTCATTTTCATTCACAGTTAAACTTTGCAGACTTTCTACTGTCAAAGAAACTAGATTTAATCTCCTTAAAACCAGAGGATGCCTGTGGGCTGGTGTTTGGTACCTCTGACATACCATAGAGGAAGCCACAGTCACTTGAGATGTTCTTGGAGTACATAAGCAATTTAACTCACTCCAGAATGCTATATGAAGGAAGTACCAAAATAACCCACCTATGAGATTAAACAGGTCCAATGTGAAAATAGTTCTCTACATTTCCCCCTTCCAAAATGAGATGCAATTAGAAGTGCAAGGGGAAGTTTAGGCAGACAGGGTATAAATAGCCTGAGTCCAGGCAGGATGCTTGGGACAAGCTGAAACCTATCTGCCTGTCTCCTGCAAAAGCATATATACACTTGAGCACTTGAGATACATCAGCACTCAGCCTTCCTCTGCTGAGCAGTCTCTGGATTCCCCAAGGGAAAAAAGCCCTCTCTGCTCTAGAGTTTCCTGATGACAGCTTTTTTTCTTTACTGGCTTAAAGACTGCGAATGCCTTTCTAGCATCCCTCCATCTAACTTGAAAGTGAGTTGAGCACAAAGAAGCCACCCATTTTCACAAGACCTTCACGAGAGTATCTCCCTAGGGCTCTCCAGGCTGTTCTGTAAGTCTGTCCACCTTTGGGATGACTTTGACAACAAGCATCAGTGGAATATTAAGCACCAAACTCCACTGTTTATTTCATTGTCTTTAAGCTATGCAAAATTGTTTTCTCACTTCATTTCCCCTCTTGCTGAGAAATGGCCTACAACAACTTTCCAGACAAGCCAACTAACAAGAGCGCCAACATATTTTAGTGTTTACATGCAGTCGAATAACACATTTCAAAACATCTGAGCAGACTTCACATGAATTGAACATATTTTAGATAGGCTCTTTATACTCCCAAGTGACAAGGCAGGAAGTATGGAAACACAGTTTTGAACAATCAATGCCATGACAAGAAAGCAAGTTGAAAGCTAGGTCCTGAAACCCTGGTCTAACAGCATTCACATGAAAACGTCGTGATCCCACAGGCTCTTACTTCAGGGGACCACACCTGGAGAGAACCAAGGAAAATCAATGTGCCTTCACAGAACCACAGAATGGTCTGGGTTGGAAGGGACCTTCAATGATCATCTAGTTCCAACTTCCCTGCCGTGGGCAGGGACACCTTCCACTAGACCAGATAGCTCAAAGCCCCATCCAACCTGACTTTGAACACTTCCAACAATGGGGCAACCACATCTTCTCTGAGTAATCTGTGCCAGTGTCTCACCACCTTCCTAATAAAGAATTTCTTCCTTATGTCCAATCTAAATCTACCCTCCTTCAGTTTAAAACCACTGCCCTTTGTCCTGTCACTACAGACCTCAGTAAAAAGTCTCTCTCCATCTTCTCAAGTCCCCTTTGAGTACTGGAAGGCTACTATAAGGTCTCTCTGGAGCCTTCCCTTCTCCAAGCTTTAGGAGATAACATTCCCTGAGCCTTAAACAGAAGGTGACACACTTTCAACTTTCGTTTTCTGAATCATCTGATGTTTTGACTGGACCAGAAACAAAGAGGACACACACCATTTCTACAGGAGCATGAACACTGCTCTTAGCACTGCTACAGAGGGCAAACACATTCAAGGAAGTCTCTGTCCCTACCCTCTTCCCAGGGACTGGCCCCACCTCTTGCCCTGCACCATTACAATTACTTCTCCATAGCAGCAGAGGAAAGCAAATCTGTCAGCAAAACTGCGTTAATGACCATAACTCACAGACAAAAACCTGAAATTGGACAAAGATTTTAAATGCTTTCTTGATCACCTGAGTAAAAACTGAAACACGGGATTATCTCTGCTGCCTTTATGAAAAGCTGAAAATCCATTCAGAAGCTCTTGATATAAACAACGCATAAGGTGAAGATAAAGGACTGAGCATTGCTGTTGTGCTTCCAAGGTGTAAGAGTACTCTTGGGTTCAGATCCAAATAAAACTCAAACTAAAGCAATTTCACTGTCATCACATTATCTGCTCTCTCCTAAGCTTTATGTTCGGCATCGGGAATAAAAGTGCTCCTTATCCCACTCACTCATAAAAAAGGGGGAAAGAAAATGAAAGAGAACACAAAATTGTAGAACAGTATTTTTCAAGCTTACACAATCTGTGCAGCTCATTAACCTAATACAACACCAAAGCCAAAAGCCTGGCAGCATTCACTGAGGGACATTTACAGTGGTAGTGACGGTTGACACCTAGAACAGAAATCTCAACATCCATCAAAACTTGGAAGGAAACCCCAAACCAAAAACTAAACAAATCCCAGAATATTCCTTGTTTTAAAGGCCAAGTTTAACTTGTATAGGAAGACTTAACATTTTTGACCCAGATTATACACAAAGACTGTTACAAAGAGAACTACAAGTGACCTCGTACTGCAGACACGTTTGACAATCACAGAATCACAGAATGGTAGGGGTTGGAAGGGACCTCTGTGGGTCATCCAGTCCAACCCTCCTGCCAAAGCACGGTCACCTACAGTAGGCTGCACAGGACCTTGTCCAGGTGGGTCTTGAATGTCTCCAGAGAAGGAGACTCCACAACCTCCCTGGGCAGCCTG